ACACGTTTCCAACTTTTCAAATTAGGGGACGCATCATATTAATTGTCCCCTCACTTTTAACTAATCTCCTATAGATTCCACTTTTCAAAGCGAGTGGAAACAAACATGAATTTTGTCTGTGAGTCACTTGTGCTCTGTTCCAAGTGCGGTACATAGGCCTATTTCCAGGCCAAACCGATAAAAAACACAATTATTTGTACATTTAGTAACCATCTCAGTCACCACTCCATCGATTGTAAGGGTGCAACGGTTATCGAAATTTATTATGAAAACAATGTACTGTACGCAGTGGCGTAACGCCTATGCGCTCTCGTGCGGCGGTCCACAGGTCCCCGCCCCCAGGGGCCCCGATGGAATCCCTTCTCATAGGGTCCTCGATCTAGCACCATACCAAAAAGAGCTTTGTTGAAACATAACAGCATAATATGTCTCTGATATCGACTGTAGAACATACACATTAATAAATATAATAGGCCTATGGTAGGCCTATATGACTCCGCCTGTGAAGATCCCTATCTCTGGGCCTCCTCTTTTTCAAATTACTGATATCATATAATTTATGTAGTACAAAACTCGAAGCATGATTCCCGACCGATGTTTCTAGGTCTTTGTTAACTCATTAGAAAAGTAGATTTAGCTATGTTTGTAAAACGCCTATATTGGGTTTCATCGCGTATGTTAACATTCAATTGTTAGGACAGCATGAATAGAGTGGAGGAAATTCAATAAAAACGACCATTATTCCATTTTGATTTATTAGAGAGTGGCACAATTAGTAATTGCGGATATGACCGAAACTATTAATTATTAATACTTCGACTGTTTATTTTCGCATTAACACTATTTACATTTATTAACAAAATAGATGATTTTATCTCTTGGGCCCGGTCGGTGATGATATTTGCAGAATAATTGAAGCTCTTCCATATTTCTCTTTAACTTTTTGTCTGCAGGCATAATATAATTCTTGTGTACAAAGTAAAATAAATTATTCGTCAAACGAGATTGGCCTTTTTTACTGTTATGAGCTCGTATGGTACATGGTACAAGTAAAGAATAGGCCTAATCATAGGTCTGAAACGCTTACAAAGTTTACATCACAAAATGCTTGAAATTATATGAAAATTATTATGAAAAGTTATATTACCATACGAGAGTTATACTCTCATAGGATGTATCATGTCATTTAGTCTAATAGTGTATTTACCTCTCTTTGATGATTCATAGGCCTATACAGTGTTAACGTCTATTCTAATTTATACTACTTGTTTCCAGCCGTACTTATTGTGTAATAGAGTGTATTTGACGGTCTAATGGTTATGACGCTCTCCTTGAGAGCAAGAGGTTGCAGGTTCGAGCCCGTCAGAAGAATTTTATTACACAATTTATTTATCTATTTACTTATTTAGTTATGGGACAACATTTGCTGAGAGCTGTGCTATACGATGTACTGCCATGTCCTTTATTCTAACATTTTCTTTGACAATCCACAGTTGAATACGCATGTTCCGTTTATGGTCGTCTTCCTAAATGTGACTTGTATTTCTTTCATCGAATTGAGACAATTTTTGCTAAGATTGTCAATCTCTTTGTATCCTTTTCATTTGAAGTTAGACAGAATCCTTTTATTATTAGCTCACTTTCTAAGATTGCCCAAAACTCAAATCATCCCCTACACCCATTCCTTTCTCCACGCCGTAATTGTTCCATCTCTCTTAGAAACTCCCGCCACACCCAATTTCTTCCATTTCCTAATTTTTTATTATTTTTTTTTTTATTTTTTTTTTTTCATTTTTTCTATTTTAGTTTTCTTTTTTCCATTTTTAAAAAATTTTCTTTTAGGTTCTGGTTATCTTTCTTTCCCCATACAATTAAAATTGCTACCGACCATTCTATTGACCCTCTGTTTATTTTCCCCAATGATATTAAAATTAAATTAGACATTCTAAACCAGTAATGTTAGGTATATATTGTGTTGATTGTGTATATAACTATGTGTTGTTAATGAGTGGATAATAGTCCTCGATGGCTTCCTAAACAATAAAAATACATAAACGAAAGAAATTATAATCCAATTAGCCTTGATGAAACGTAAGGATATCTTCTCGTACTTCCTGAGTAAACAAACAGGCAGAAATTTCGAGCTAAAATCCTTGATAATGGACCAAACGGACATAATTGATGAAAAGAACTAAGGATTTAATGATGGTGTTACTCTTCAACCCATCTTCAGTACAAATAGAAAACAAACAAAAAAAAACTCGCCATTTATACAGAACTCAAATGAATAATAATAAATTAAGACCAATGTATTACCATTTAAGTAACATAGTACTCAAATATATAGGAACCTGATGTTATACATCCAATAACACATTGTTCATCAATGAAACTTCCTTATTGTAGTTGTATGAAAAAAGTGGTCTCTGGTGGGAACCGAACCCGCAGTCCCTCGCTATCTCGGCGAGCGGCATACCGTTTAGACCACATGCCCGTACGATATCATTACGGATCTATAGGAAATAATAAATCAAATTATATATAGGAACATGATGTTATAAATCGTATCAAACTTAGTGAAGTAGGTCAAGTAAATTAAATACATCAAAGAAAGTGTTTCTTTATTTTCTATGATACATCACTCATATTAATTAGATCTCTGTGGTTGCCGAAAATCCCTGATAAAATGAGAAACTGGCGCTTCATTTAGACTATATAATGGTGATGTGACGATTGATGAATTTTACTATAAAACTTAGGTACTATTTCGTCAAATTTTCTCACTTGAGTCCCAACCATGGTGGAGTTGAGGTGGCTGTGGACTCACAGTTTTAAAGTAGGTAAAGTAAATACATCAAAGACAATGTTTTTAAGTTTTATTTTCTATGGTAGGCCTATATCACACAAATTAATTAGGTCTCTGTGGTTGCCGAGAATAGCTGATAAAAGATCATGAGATTTTGTTGGCGCTTCCTTTTGATTATGGTGATATATATATAAATATATATAGGGCCTATATACATATATATATATATAATTATATACAGTATTTGTACATATGTGTATATATATATATATATATATATAAAACGTGTGAACAAGTTGTGATAGTCGTATCAAGCATAGCAAATTAACAAAAATTGTTTCTTTATTTCAGACGTATGAATAAGAGCGTCTCTGGCGGGATTCGAACCTCTAGCTATCAATGCCAGTATCATACCCATTCGAGCACTGTTATTATTTGTTATCTAATTGTTTACATTTATATGTATACTATTGATTTATGGACAGTTTAAAAGTTATGGGCACGAGTGGATCTTTTTTACAGAAGAACACACAAGATATCACGCAGAGGACAAACAACATGCCAACACAGACAGTGTCAAAAATCGAAGTAAAACCAGAGAGTGATGTTACCAGACCAGATAGTACCGTCAGATCACATAGTGGCGTCATAGTACTTGCAAACCTTAAACCTTCGGAAGCCTCAATAAAAACAGAGGATGTTTCACAATCTCAATACAAAAACAACGAAGGACTGATTTCACCTACAGAAAAGGACAAAAAACTTCCCCGACGACAGAAATATGTTAACAACAGAACATCGAGGTTGTATGAGCTTACTATTCCATTTCAAAAGATCAAGGTTGAACCAGAAGACCAGGAAGTGATGAATGATTTGAAATCCGCAATTGCAACTGCTTTCAAGTTTCTCAAAGATGCTGAAACTATAGTCAGTGATCATATTTTAGAATGTCTGAATGTTTGTAAATTGTCTTACTGTGACGCAAGAGTTCGTCCATACCGCCAAATTATTGGAAACCATTTATGCGACTTAGGCTATCCTGCACTTTTTCATAAGCTCTTGATCGAACTTCAGAAACTCGATCTCTTCAACGATGAAAACAAACTTGCAGTTGACATATTTAGATCAACAAAATCTATTGCATGGAATTTCACAAACGTTTCAAGAGATTTATGCATTGAACTTGGAAAAGCTGGCGTGATTCCACTGCTGTTGTCAAGCCTCACTCAAAAAGAGTTCCTTCCATCTACAATTACAGAATCAAATTCATTTCATATAAAAGGAAACTTGGGAATTTTGAGCAATATGATACGGCTCTCTCCAGATAATAGACAGATAGCACGTGAACATGGTGCAGTGAAGCTTCTCTTGGATTACTCCAAGGTTGAATTCATAATGCTACAAGCCAAATGCTTCATCATTCTGTCGTTCCTTATTCGAACCGACGCAGAGGTGGGTCTTCTGGAGAGCACGGGTTCTGTCATCAGATTCATCATCAGCCTTCTCAACACATCTCTAGCTTCGGACTCCGGATCTGCACGAGGGTTTGGTACCTCTGAGATTCTACTTGCTCTTAACAATCTTGCACTGAACGATAAAAATAAAGTGAAAGTTGTGGAATACGGTGGCCTAACTCAGCTGGCGAAAGCTCTTCAACTGCAGACCCAAGACAACAAGGAGGCCGTTCAAATACTTTCGGCAGAGTTAACGTGGAAATTGTCGTTCATTGAAGACAACAGACAGAAAATTAAAACAGAGAATGGTTTGATTGATGGTAAGTAAGGTGATGGGTAATGACGTTAAATCAGTCAAAGTATACAATGTTTGATTCTTCAGAATTAAAAATTAAATTAAAATTAAAATGATCTCAACTTGAACCTCAGGGAATTCTTTTAAATCGAAACGGCACTGACAGTATGTATTTTTGTTTAATTAAAATAATGATTAATTTTCGTTAATTTGATACACTTCAGCATTGGCAATACTTAAGACATCGGCAAACGGTAAACTTAAAACGGCGTGCTCGGGTGCATTGTGGGAAACATTTGAGGGTATATTCGAAGAAGAAGACAATACACCAACTGACGTTCAGACAACAAGCTTGAAGAATGGGCTCCACGTGATGATCAGCTACCAATGGGATGTCCAGGCAAGAATAATTCAATTGAAAGAAAAACTCCAAAATGCCGGTTACAATGTTTGGATGGACATTGATCAGATGGGTGAGTGTGAATTAAGTCACAGAAAATACCTACTATCTTTTTTTTTAATAGTTATCATCTTGTATATACATCAGAAAATATTTTAATAGTTATCATCTTGTATATACATCATAAAATATTTTTTATTTTAATAAGAAATTACTCCACATTAAAATACGGTATGCTAATAGCGTTGTGAAGCAACGTAAGACCATAACTGGTTCTAGTGGGTAAAGCTAATTTCACTGTTCCCTGGTAAAGCCATGCAGTATTGTCTTCCTCCATGGTAAAGCCAACCTTCTAAGGACTCCAAAGTGTAGGAGATTGAGGGTAGAAATGAAGTTGAATTATAAGACATGTTCACTAGTTAAAGACGCGCAGCGTCAGTCCTGAGCAGGTTTGCCGCCTGTAATAATTTAATTGATAATATAGTAATCAATTACTTGGGTTTTATCTATTACAGAAGGAGATTTATTAGGGGCAATGGCGGCTGCCATTGAAAATGCAGCAGTTGTATTAGCATGTGTATCTCAAAAGTACAAGGACAGTACAAGCTGTAGAACAGGTCTGTGCATACATATAAACATAAGCAAAGGTCATGGTTTATACTACACAAAAATAAGTAACAATAGTTTTTCTGATTCATTTAATAGAAGCAACGTACGCTTATAAACAAAATAAACCAATAATACCACTACTTGTCCAACCAAACTATACGGCAGACGGCTGGCTTGGGGCACTCATTGGAACTCTAAAATATTACCCGTTCTTCAAGGATACCATGGTTACAACAGAATTTCCAAAGATTAGGAACGAAATCGGGGAGAGAGGAAAAGTTAATTCACAATGTAAAGGTAAATTTTTAAAGCCAATGTGTGATTATATTGTTGAATAAATATGTATTTTCTCTGAATAATCCTCAACAAGCAATTTCAAATTATCGCTCATTATTATGACTCATGAATGGTACACTCATGAACAATAGATGAAATTGGTAGGCTTTGTTTTTTTCTTTCAGACTTTTCTGTTTCTGAAATACAGGATGGTAATACAGACAAAGCTCGGACAGATTCTATCGACGGGGGGCAAAGGGCGGTGTCTGGTGGTGGCAATATCCCCAATGAAGTGTCGGCGTGGACTACGAAGCATGTTAGTGAATGGTTGAAACGAATAAAAATGACGGAGTTATGTAACGTTATGAAACAAGTAAATGGCAAACTTCTAATTCAGATGCTCAAGATGTCGAATAAAGCTCCTGATTTCTTCTACTCAAGATTAGAGCGAGACTTCAAAATGAATTTAATGCAGATACTGAAATTTTCAAGCGCCATTGATGAATTACTAGACTAAAAATATATATTATTAATTTATATTATTATCAACATCATCATATTTATCGTGATCATCATCATCATACAGGCGTATTATTATTTTATTATTATTATTATTATTATTATTATTATTATTATTATTATTATTATTATTATTATTATTATCATCATCATCATCCCTTATAACGACTTGATATAATCCTATAAATACATAAAATTTCCAAGTATTAATTCCTGACACCACCAACCCGGATATGTTGTATATTAATCCCATCAACCACAGCTTACAACATTGATGTGCCTTATTATTATAAGCAAATTACTTATTTACCTATTTCTTTGAGACTATGGTTTCTTGTTTAGTGTATGCATAACAAAATAAATTACAATATCTTATCAAGGGCAATACACATCACGTGTAATTGCCCGTCAGAACACAAACATATATTATATCATCAATACAAGATATAGGGTAAATACAGTGTTCGAATAAAGGACATAATGGTATTTCGTGCAGCATAGCTCTCAACGAATGTTGTTCTATAAATATATGAACAATAGACCACAGTGGCTTCTGGTTGAACAGATTCGAATAACCGCTAATTACATAGTATTACACAATGCGCATCTCCACACCAAATGGTACATCGCGCTGACCTGAAAATGGAAGCACCAAATCGGCCAAATGTTTTGACCTTCAAAACAAATATTTAAAAAGAATAAACGAAGTTTAAATACAACACAATACTGTACTAAAGACTGACGTGTTTTCCTTTTCTATGTCAAGGGGTTTTCTGTGTCAGAATGTCAGACAATAGTTTCTTTTCTTTGAGAAATGGTGGAACTGAATTGCCAAGCAGTCTGTTACACTTCTTTTTATAAGAACATATTTTATAAGAACACTGAGGCTGAAATTGCTTAAAGATTAAGAACAAAATAAGAACTAATTAAGGCTGAGGTAAAATGTCAAATGAGGTTTTTTATTGATTTTTTTTTAAATAGTGCAGTAGTTTGGCTATGTAATACCCTCTATACTATGTAATACCCTCTATAATACAGTACAATAAGTGTACCTATCATTTGGAGCCATTTTTACTGGGCCTTTTTCTGGGGCCATTTTTTCCGGGGCCATTTTTTTTAATAAAAAAAAATAAAATAAAAATAAAATGATAATAATAATAATAATAATAATAATAATAATAATAATAATAATAATAATAATAATAACAATAACAATAACAATACCAATAATAATAATAATAGTGTAGTTTTATATAGCGCACAAATCCATCTAATGTAAGATGCTCAGGGCGCTTGAAATGTGGACTAGGAACTCGATCAATGACTTTCTTCGCCCCTAAGGGTCCCTTCGTGTCTGTGCTACCTGGTAGCCTGGTACCAGCAACTCTCGTCGTCCACCACAGGGGCTGTCTGTTCCAGTGTATCCCCCTACTCGTCTCGAAAGATGTACTGGGCTCTTTATAGTGCACACGAGCCATTGTATACATATTGTTAATGAATTGTATTTGCATTGCAAATTATTGCTATGTTCTAATTCTATTGTAAACTAATTATGTAAATAAAAATAAAATCATTAAGAATATAATTATGTCACGTTATATGAAAATATGCCAAAAACCCCTATTAAGGGGACAATTTTACGTTTTTAGTTAGTGTCCCCTAAATAGGGGTATCCCTATTGAGGGGACATCCCTATTAAGGGGACACTTTTTTGGTCCCGAACGTGTCCCCTTAATAGGGGGTTCTACTGTACAGTATGTTGAAACAAAATTTCATATTTATATCATTTTTTTTTTGTTTTTTTTTAATTTATCTTATTTAACTTTAATTAAATTAGAGTGTGTAAAAAAACAGACTTGTACAACATTTGTTCTAATTCTATTGTAAACTCATTATGTAAATAAAAATAAAATTATTAAGAATATAATTATGTCACGTTATATGAAAATATGCCAAAAACCCCTATTAAGGGGACAATTTTACGTTTTAAATTTTAGTTAGTGTTCCCTAAATAGGGGTATCCCTATTGAGGGGACACCCCTATTAATGGGACACTTTTTTGGTCCCGAACGTGTCCCCTTAATAGGGGGTTCTACTGTACAGTATGTTGAAACAAAATTTCATATTTATATCATTTTTTTTTGTTTTTTTTAATTTATCTTATTTAACTTTAATTAAATTAGAGTGTGTAAAAAAAACAGACTTGTACAACATTTAGCAGTGACTTCTTCTACTTCATTTTGAACCCTTAATTGAATGAACCATGCAGTAAATGTTAATGCAATGCAAACTGAAATTATGTTCAAGATTTATTGATTCATATTCCTACATTAACTTATTAGTTAAAAGTATGATCATCACTTCAGTCACAGTGAAAAGAAGATCCACCAATAAAAGAATTTCATTGTTATTTAGTGTAGCACCCCTCCCCCCACTTTTTTTTCGAAGGTTAAAAAAAGAAAAAGAAAGAATAAAAAACGCCTCAGAGGTTATTTTAAGGCGTCTAGGACACAAAAATTTCGCGGGGGAATGGCTCCGGACCCCTAAGGTAGTACTATCTCGATCGGTCCCACATTCGCCCCTCCCCCCACCCCACATCTCTGGATCCGCCCCTAAGGGCGATCTAAAATAAGCATGTTTTTTCTTTAAATTTATATAGATTTAATAAGTAATTTAAACAGCACCGACCTTGCCAACTTTGAAAGATATTTCAGTGTTAAAACATTATTTTGTATACTCTATAATATTAATATCCACAAGCCATTTTCTAGTTGATATCGGTGGTGAATACCGTATTCATAGCAGAAGACTTATGACCCAACTTTCTTTTTTCTCAATTCTGAAATAAAACATATCTATCATTGTACAGTACAAGCTTGTTTTAGAAAAAAGTAGGCCTACCGTAGTTCATGCTAGCTCCCGCAGCCAAAGAGAGGGTGTGGGGATATGTGGCATTTTGACCCACTGTAAAAATCAAAGTGATAATTGAGTATTTACAAAATAACAACAAATAAACAATAAATACTTATTTCTTTATATATGCCCTATATGCCTATGTACAACCTCAGCTAGATACGTATACATTTTCATAAATGATCTGGCCCAAACCTAGGCTATAACCGGAACAGTGAGGTAGCTAGAGGTTTTGACGTCCGGGGGAAAGAGTAGAAGATTGAACCCCCCTACCCCACCAATTATAATTATAATATTGTGAAATAAATTGATATTGGTTGTATAAGCTTTTGTATATCCATACCGTACGTCCGTACCATGCATTGTAAAAATAAGCAAACTGTTTAAATTAAACCCGAAATAACTATTATTATTCTCTCATAGATAGTAGGTTCTTTCCTACTATTTGAAACTGCATTATGTTCGCAACTTTGTTGTATACAACTTTACCATTATCCGAAGTTGTACTGCGGCTGTTGTATTTATCGCATAATTAGTATTCGTATTCTCTAAATTTATCTTATAGTAGAGTCTTGTAAGTTGCTGAATTTGTAACATTGTTTAAACTCGTAACTGCATTTTTGCGTGCTTTTGCATCAGCAAATAAGTTAATAACATGATCAAAGTTAATGTCTGCTTCATCGCGCTCAATACTATAGGGAGTGCCAAAGCAGATTGTTCCATCCATGGAGGAATTGCTCTTTATTGTTCCATCGTTGCTCTGAGATATGGCAGGATGAGATTTAGCTTGCTAAATGAGCGCTCACAATTAGCGATTGAAATAGCTACTGTCAACATGATTTACATTGCTCCTCGCAAGTTCGGAAAACGTCTCATCACCGTACGGTACGATAAACTCAAGGAGTTCCACTGTGTTTGTGATGCTGGTGTTGTTCGATTTTTCAACAGCATCCTGCAATCTATCACTTAATTGTACAGCTCCTATATATCACTACCTTTCAAAATCTACTGCCTTGGAACTATATATGTACTGAAATAACCGAAATTTCCGTGACGTATAGTCATTACAGAATAAGATAAAAAAAAAAAAAAAAAAGAGAGAGAGAGAGAGAGAGAGAGAGGGAGAGAGAGAGAGAGAGAGAGAGAGAAAACGGTCGAAATGGACTGAAGAAATCGTGAGAGAGAGAGAGAGAGAGAGAGAGAGAGAGAGAAAACGGTCGAAATGGACTGAAGAAATCGTAATCTATAAATTTGCCAATAAAAACAACTACTAGACCTACATTCACATTCTTGTTATTAACTGGGAAATATTCATGCCTGACGACATAGGCCTACATCAATTTCATCATTTTATTCTAAAAGTGCTTAGGCCTATATTTTTTACTCTCATTCTCCCACTTCTGCGCACCCAAACCCAGCGCCCGGGGCACATGCCCACCCTTGACCCCCACCCCCAGCTATGCCACTGAACAGGAATATGAGGAAAGTTTTTACTTCTAGGGTTATTTTCTATAGTAAATTCTGTAGTATTGCTGGGATGTTGTAATTTATAGATATCATTGGCGGATCTGGGGGGGGTTAGGGGTCCCCCCACCCTTGAGCTGCCAAGCAAAAAGAATTTAGACCTACCTTTTCAGGACCTGAGCAGAAATTGTGTTTTTTAAACCTAAAAATACAAATCATCATGCAAAACTTACCCTTATTATTATTATTATTATTATTATTATTATTATTATTATTATTATTGTTGTTGTTGTTGTTGTTGTTATTTATTCGGCATCAATATATACAAAAAAACAGACTTGAACTACCATTTACTGTACACGAAATCTCTGCTGTGGCTGTACCAAAGGTAGGCTTAGCACAGGCCTTCGCACTCAGTAGTAAAATCCCCACAGAAATTGTGCGGAAATTTTGACAGGGGACGGGCCAGGGACTTTGACCAATTTCACTCTTGTTAAGTCTTCGCAAAATACCCTATTATAAATGCTGTAACTCCCCACACTTGTGCTACCAAGTTCTCGAAAATATACTATTTAATTTCTTTTTCTGTATGTATACACACATAATAAGCCTAGGCCTATTTACTGTAATAAGAATGAGAAAATTTACCTGACCGTTTTCAAGAGGAGGAAAACGTTGAATTTCGAAGAACTTAAACGTTATTAAAAGACACCTCAAATGTCAGAAAAGCTCATTTCCCGCCATCCAGGAATCAAAATTTTCCAGGGGGAGGAACACCCTTATTATTATTATTATTATTATTATTATTATTATTATTATTATTATTATTATTATTATTATTATTAT